CCACATCCCAAAGAAAGACTTTCAAGACTTGCTGCTACACGAGCTCTCTGGTAACAAAACCAGCTCAAGGCAGATGGTGCTAAAAAGCCCAACTGCTCCCAGGCTCCCAGAGAAGGCTCCTGTGGAAATAAATGGGTGATTCAGCCACTTGAGAGTAATGGCTCTGACTCAACCCCCAAACACACCACCAGGAAAAATTGAAATCAAGGCTGTGATATGAAACTGTTCCATCTTTAGCAGTGGCTGCAGGTGATGGTAGAGCTCTGCCCAGGTCGTGCTCCAAGGCCTCGTGGTCCCTGTGGTAACACAAACCAGGGGAATGCTGGAAAAAGCAAATCAAGCTCCCAACACAACTTCAAAGCTTTTCTATCACAGAATCACAGAATGGTTTGGGTTGGAAGGGACATAAAAGCTCATCCTGTCCCACCCCCTGCCCTGGGCAGGGACACCTTCCACTAGCCCAAGTTGCTCCAACCTGGCCTTGGACACTTCCAGGGATGGGGCAGCCACAGCTTCTCTGGGCAACCTGTGCCAGGGCCTCCTCACCCTCACAGGGGAGGATTTCTTCCCAATATCCCATCTAAACCCACTCTCAGTTTGAAGCCATTTCCTGTGTCCTGTCCCTCCATGCCTTGTCCCCAATCCCTCTCCAGCTCTCCTGGAGCCCCTTTAGGCCCTGCAAGGGGCTCTCAGCTCTCCCTGAAGCCTTCTCCTCTCCAGGGGAACCCCCCCAGCTCTCCCAGCCTGTCCCAGAGCAGAGGGGCTCCAGACCCCTGAGCAGCTCCGTGGCCTCCTCTGGAATTGCTCCATGTCCTTCCTGTGCTGATACCCCAGAGTGCTCCAGAAGGGAATGAAACCCTTTGCTTACCTATCAGGGGAAGAAGAAATCCAATCTAACCCTGCCCTCTGTCATTTTTAAGCCATTCCCCTCCATCCTGTCACTTTTCCAAAGGCCCTTTCCATGCTCTGGACCCCCAGGCAGGCAGGAGGAAGGGGCAGTGTGTCCTGCTGGGAAGCCCTCAAGTCATCTGAAAAAAAATCAAGCTGGGGAAGTTCCTTATCACTTCCCCCATCCTTCCTCTTCACTTGAAAATCCTGAGGCTTCCCTGCATGGGAGCAGCTGTCAAGAGATTTGCAGCAGCAGGAATTTGTCATCCTCACCCAGTGATCCAATAGTCCCAACAATCGTGGGTATTATTTTACTTAACTCCACTCCTTAATCCCATAATGCCATAAAATACCACTGAATCAGAGCTTAGCAGGATTCCAGAAAGGAAGAGACTTTTAAAGAGATAATGAGAACTCCACTTTTATATTAGAGAGGATTGAAAGGAGAGAAAAGAGGAGGCAGAACAGACCAGATGGGCAGATTACTTCATAGTTTTCCTTAATATGATTTCTTCAACCTGAAGCATCTGGTAATTCCACTATCAGAGATTAGATGCTGGATAAGATGGACAGGCAGACTGATCCAACAAAGCAATTTTTATTTTCCTGCTGCACACAGGAGAGGTTCCCATTAAATCATATATCACAGAATAAAAGAGAGGTACAGAAAATCTGGTAGCAAAGCAGGGAATGTTCCAGTCCCTGGGATCCCATATAAATATACTTCACTTTCAATATAGAAAACAACACATCTTCCTAAATCCCCCCATCCTCCACGGGCAGAAAATGCTGGGAGTGGATCAACAATAAAACTCACAGATCAGCCTTGTCCTTCACAGGTTTTTGCAGAAAATTGAAGAAAAGCTCTCCAGCTCAGTTTTTTTGAGATGTGTGTAGAAGTCCTGCAGCCTGCAGGCAGCACCTTGGCTACTTCCAATCTGGAAGCCATAATTGTTTTCCAGAACAGGCAGGAATCTCATCTTAAAGGCAAAAAACCCAATCAGACAAGTTAGAAATGTGTTGCCTGTGCCTGTCTCATTATGCCACTGTTTTGTAGCAAGTTCTGAAATAAAGTCCCTTGCACCAAAACATCAGTCCTGCCTTATTTTAGCTAAAGGAGGAGCTTTCTTGGCCGTCCAAAATGTAACATGTTCTGTGATTCACTCTCCAAGCACCTTGCAATGCTCACCCAACACAACCTTTGCTGCTCAGCACAGGGTCAGGCCCAGGAACATCAATATTAATAAGTTCCAGACTGAGGTCTGACAGGCCCAGCTCCCTGATGGCACCAGCAGCACACATTATTCCATGTATCCATACTGTCAGCAGCACTTTTTTGGGAATCAGTGCAGTGCAATACCCAATCCTGTTCCAGTGGTGACCAGCAGGGCATGGTTTCAACCTCCCAGCCCAGGGGAGCAGCCTCAGCTTTTAAGAAAGGAAATCTCTTGCCCTGCATTTTACAAACAAAGCCAAAATGATAACCCAAACTACCAAAAAGGGACACCACAGTTCCTCAGATCAGGGCAAACAAGGCAAATTCCACACCCCTACTCTTGCTGCTGGGGAAGATCTTGCCTTCTCCTAAGCACCATCCTGTACCCAGCACCTCTGGGACCATTTTCTCCAGGGAAAATCACCTCCCTCCTTTCCACTGGGCAGGGACAGAATCCCCTCAGCTGGGAGTGGTGCTGCCTCCTCATCCCCAAGCCCTGCCTGCAAACCACCCTGAGCAGGGACACCTGAACCTCTGAACCCTCAGGGATGGGGACGAATTTCCCCTGAACTCTCCTCCCTCGCCTTCCTTTGGCCACAGGCACAAAGCAGGAGCAGGAGAAGGACTCACAGTGACCCTTGGCCACGTTAATCTTTCTTTAAAAAGAGAGAAGATGGAAAGCAAAGGATGTGAGAGCAGCAGCCACTGCCAGGCCCAGTCCCAGTCCATCAGCATTCCCGTTCTTTCCTTGAACCAAACAGGCTTCATTATTATATTTAAAACTAACATGCTTTGTAATTCTTATCAGCTGGAAGGTTCTCTACAGTTTTTCCCCCACTAATGCTGCAATTTCAAAGCCATTTAGGCTAATTTCCTTTGACTGGAATCTATTTTAATCAGAGCCCAGGATACTTGACTTAAATGGTTTGTGTTCAACCCTTCATAAAATCAGCCATAAAGCTGCAGGCACGAAGTACTGAGAGGAGCCTGGAGCCAGAAAAAGCTGAAACTTTTCAAATCCTCCAGCAAACTCCAGCCTATTTCATACCAGATCGACTGTTCTCTTGCATTACCAAGACAATTGATCCCCAAAATTAAAAAAAAAAGCAACAAAGAAAACACCCTCCTGAAGTTCTTACATAGATAAAAGTTATGCAGCTGCAGTCAGTGCCACAAATTCTCTCCAGAGGATCAGCCCAGCTCCAAAATGAAGCATTTCTAAGGAATTGCTGTGCCTGCTCTGTCCTCTCCACCACTCTCCCGTGAAATGACAGATAGTGGCACCGAGGGAAAATACAATGCCAGCCTAAAAATGTCAGAATGGATCCTTTTCTTCCCCCAAAATCTGAAAAAAAACCCTGCATTACTTCTCAAATTAATTCTCAGGAAGTAATGCTGCAGTCAGAGTTCTGGATGAGAAATGGAAATAAGCAGCTCAGCCTCAGGTAACAGCTCGAGGAGGTCCCGCTCCAAGGATTTGCATTGTAGTGGAATTTGCATCTCATGGAGCCAAAGGTGCAATTTGTAGCTGCAATTCAGTTTGTCCTGAACCACCCCAGCAAAACTGCAGCCTGGGCCTCCTCTCCTTGGAAAACTCAGCCGAGGATTTGAGTTGTCAGTGGTTGACAGCCCTGGAAACTTGGAGTGGCTGCTTGAAATTCCTGCAGCATTTGGGGAAGGGAAGGAATAAAAGCTCTCCCAGCCTGAACAATTTGCTGGAGCCAGGGAGCTGCAGGATTTTTAATGCAGATGCCAAGCAACAGCTTTGTCACTGCCCCCACGACACAGGCGCTGGACAAGTATCTTCCAGCATCTAAATCTCTCCCAGCTCCTTTTTTTATCAGGGATTTCACTGAAGGCCTGGACAAATTGACACTTTGCTATTTTGAGGAACTCTCCACCGGCCATATTTAAAATTAACCTTCACAAAGATAAACTCACAGCGTGTCTTTTCTCACACCCTGAGGGAAATGGTGTGTCACCTCTTTTTAGTCTGTTCTTCTGTGGTGCTTGGCAGGTAAACGTCACCATCACCTTTAAAGATCATTCTGGCAAAAAACTAGAGGAAGGATGTTGCCACCCGAGCAACTCCCTTCAAAGGCCCAGATCTCCAGCAGGAGATCCCACAGTGTCCCAGGAGGAGCCCAAGGGCAGCCCCAGAGCCCTGGAGGTCCTACAGGAATGTGAAGGAGCTGATAAGGGAGAGAGAGGGAAAGTCTTTGCACACATTTACAGGGTAATAAACACCAAGGTCAATAGCTCAGGGAACAGCCCTTGGCTGGTGAAAGCTGCTGTGAGACTCTGATGGCACCACTCCCACCCAAAGTCATGGACTGCTTTAGGAAAACAGAGAGAACAGTGGGAAGAAAATCACTTTTTTCCCCTGATAAATCATCTTAATGAATTATGTCACTCTCTACAGTTACTTGGAGCCAGGTGGAGATCAGCTTCCTCTCCCAGGGAACAAGTGACAGGACAAGAGGGAACAGCCTCAAGCTGTGCCAGGGAAGGTTCAGGTTCGATATTGAGAAAACATCTTCACTAAAAGAGTGTCCAGCCCTGGCACAGCTGCCCAGGGCAGTGGGGGAGTCACCATCCCTGGAAGTGTTCCAAAAGCACGTGGATGTGGCACTTGGAGCTCTGGTTTAGTTGTGAACACCCTGGTGCCGGGTTTGCAGTTGGACTCAGTCTTAGAGGGCTTTCCCAACCTTAGTGATTTTGTGATTCCCTGATCTCGGTTGCAGCCAAACTACCCCAGTTGCTCATTCCTGAGCAGGCCCCTGTGAACAATAATGAGGGAAAAGCCAAGAGTCCCAAACCAGAGCATGGAAACCACCAGCATTCCTGTGGTGCCACCCAAACCCGAGCACTCCCTCACGGAGCAACAGGGACTTACTTGGTCGGCCGATAATCCGGGATGGAACGATCCAGAGAGATTTTCTCACTGAGGTAGGAGTTGTAGCCATATTTCTCATGGGGTCCCTTTGCCTTCTCCTCCTCCTCAGGGGACAGGGTGGCTGGCAGGCCACCCTTCCCACGCCCCCCATAGCCTTCAATGAGACCGAGTGACTTGGACAGACCTCGAGAGAAAACAAAGACCACCAGCACTGTTAAAATCCATCTCCGTTCTTTCCAGCCATCAAAGACATTCAAATACTCCAAAAATCCAAGGTTGGTTTGCTGAAAACATTCCAAATTCTAGTTCTCTGGCCCAGTGCTGGAACAAAACTGCCTCAAGTCTTGAAAGTCCTCCTGGCTCAGGCACGCTGTTACTGATAGCTCCACCACTGGCATCTGAGTGATAACCTGTCCCAGGGATCTCTGTATTTATTTAGTTGTTAGGGAGGTTATTTAGGCCTCCTTCCCACTCTCAGAGAGGTAATTACACAGAAGGTTAGGTGTCCCCAGGAGAAGGAGAGGTTGAACACAGAGTAAGAATAAAACAGGGTTGGTTAACTGCCAAGTGAATGAGTTTTTGCTCGGTGTGAGCAGGGAACAGCATACAAATGTTACGGATTTAAAAACAATTTCCCCCTCAAAGCTTTCTTATCTTTTAAAGTACAACATTCCCAGACCTTTATCAAGGGGAATTATTTATTTATATCTGCAGAGCTGAGGGAAATAGGTAAAGTTCAGAACATAAAGAGCTCTGTGCATGATTTGGTGCTGACTGTGGGTAGCCAAGTTCAAGCTCATGTTATTATTTATTAGACAGGATACCTGGAATTTTAATATTTTTCATTTGCAGAGACTCTCTCTTTTTGTCAGAAACCTAAAAATAATGTTGGATTTGTTTGGTTTGCCTTTTTGTTTGGTTTGTTTTTTTTTAATTAAAGACACCGGGGTAAATTCTCCTTTGTTTCAGTGGCAGAGCAGGACAGATTTTGTCACCTCTGTTGCTTTTGAAGGGACAATAACCTTGAGGTTGTGCACAGGGTTTCAGGATGAGCTTGGTCCAGCTCCCAGACCTCCCATGGACCTCCTCTGCCCTGGAGAAAACACTCCTGTCTCCCCACAAGACACAGATTTAAACACATTTTTTCCTGCAAATGTAGCATAGAGAGGCAGAAAGAAAATCACCTGGGAATGTAAATCACAGTTGGAAGCACAGGTTGAATTATCATTGAATTATTATTAGTATTGCCATTCCTGTTATTGCTGTTATTCCTATTATTCCTATTCTTCCTTCTGACAAGGAACCTCTGCACAGCCTTCCCTGCTCCATCAGACTGCTGGAGTCCCTCTGACCACACTTGATTAGATTTTATCCCAGGATAATCACAACAAATCAACTGCCAGGAGCCACAGGCTGTGACACAGGGATGGATGACACATCCCAGCTGCCTTTTTCCATCTCGAGGCTCAGAAGAGCCAGAGGAGCTGGTCAAGAAGATGGGAAAGGGGACACTTTGTGGCCTGCAGAAGGTCAGGAGATCACTCTGTGAACTTCCCAACCCCACCCAGGGGACACAGCCTGGTTATGGAGGGAAGAGACACCAATTTCATTTTACGCACAGACTGCGGCAGAGTTAAACAGTATTTTTAAAAAAATATATTGTCACAGAGACAATTCTTCTTAAAATGTCTGTTTCTTCCTCAAAATCTGATCTTTCTGCCCAAACACATTTCCTCAGAGTACCCCAGGTCTTGCCCAGTTCATCAGCTGAGGGTTTTACCACTCTAACACACATACTCTAACAAAAACTCAGTTTATCTTTTCAATTCCTTCTTCTTCACATTCCCCATGAAACAGTTCCACCAAAATCCGTAACAAATTCTTCCTGCCTCTCCAAGGACTGGAAGACTGAGCTGTGAAGCCCTTCCACAGCTCACTTCCACTACAGGAACCCTCAGCATCCACCAGTTTGCTTTTAAAGCTTAATTTTGCTTTTCTTGATCCATTTTAACACATTTCTCACTCCCCCAGTGCTCTTGCTCTTGGTGCTTTGAATCTGGAAGGGCAGTGGGGACTTTCTGAGGTGGGCAAGGCCTGGCAGAGGCTCTGTGGGTGAAGGACCTCGGTGCTGGGCAGTGGCACCTGGGGTTCCCCCTCAGTGGGATATCAGAACCCAAACATCACAGCACTTTGGCTCTGTTTAAAGCAGGTTTTAAAAACACAATCTGGGTTATTATCAAGAGATTAAAATCTGAGTTTAACTCAGACACTGAAGGCAGAGCTTCTCCCAGAGCTCCACACTTGCAGTCAGCAGGGACAGACTCATCCCTGCCAGGCTGATCCATCCACCACAAGATCCATCAGCCTCCCTCTCAGTCTCTCATCTCTGTCCAGACCAAGGGAATTGAGTTCCCAGCTCCAGCACCTCAGGGAAGTACCTGGAATTCCAGGTGAGGGATCCCCGCTCAGTGTTCCAAATCCCAACAGCCTCTGAGGCCACACCAGCCTTTCCACGATGGTGCAGCTGAGCTGGTCTTTGCAGCAGCAGGAGAGGCCTGGAGCAAGGATATCTTTGCCAAGGAATTCTGCAGGCTGGGTGTTCCCTCCAGCCAAACCTTCAATCCACCAGCAATGCCGACCGGGACGGGGGTGGGAGCTGCTGGACAGCACCAGGACACCTTTACTTGGCCTTCTGTGGTTCTGTTACACAACAAAGATACCCCAGGGGATGGTGCATTCTCTGTCTCTCCCAAGGTGCAGTCAAGGCATGGGCAGAGCCCACACAGACCCCTCTGTGCTCCTGTGCTTGGGAGAAGGCTCTGCTGTGACACTGCAGAATGAGGGACCTGGTGAAATGAAGCCTCTCTTGAGGAACCAGAGAGAGGCCAAGACATGATTTGTATCCACCAGCTCTGACTGACAAACCTATAATGCCATTAACTGCTTTATTCCATGACCACAGTCATGACAACTGGACACACACACATCTCAGCACACACTTCTCTCTCCTCACTGAGCACATTCCCTTGTTTCTGCATGTTCTGTCCTTCTACTGCTCTAAACTCTGTCTCAGGAAGTGCAGATAAATCCAAGTCATTTAACCGAGGGAGTCAATCAAGGTGATCCATCTGTATGTGTCGGGCAGGGCACTGCTGTGATCCATCCCCTGCCTTCCAGGAGAGCAGCCAGGATATCCCACACCCCCCCAGGGAGAGTCATGGAGATGAATATTCCCAGGTGTGATGTGACAGGGAGGATCTCCCTGTCTGTCTCTGTGCTGGTTGAGCATTTCCTCCCCCAGCCTGGGCTGTCAGGAGGGCTCAGCCCTGAGTGGGGATGTCACCTTGGTGTGCAAGAGTCGAGGAACGTTTGGCAAGAAAGGTAATTCATGTCCAAACAGAAGAGGAAGAAATTCGTTTCCAGCTGGCTGGAAAGGTGCCTCAGGAGAGGCAGGACTGGAAACAAATGGTTCCAGCAGATCCTCGTCCAGTCAATCCTTTCACTGGTTTTTATTCACCACATTTTTGGGCTGCACAAAGGGCACCTTTCTGTGAACTTGAGGTGCTTTTGCTGTAACTTCAGAAGTTCCCCTCAGCCCAGCCCATGTGGCTGCTTCAGCCAGGCAGGAACCAGGGAAAGCTCCTCACAGGGAGCTCCCAGGGCTTTACATCAACCCACATTTCATGTCCGAATCCCAGAATATTCCCAGTTGGAGGGGACTCACAAGGATGATCGAGTCCAGCTCTTCCATGACTGGCCCATACAGGGATCAGACCCACAACCCTGGTGTTATCAGCACCATGCTCTGACCAACTGAGCTAATTTTGGGAGCACAGAGACACCCACACACTTCCCAGGCCTAAGTGAGGGCTCACTAAGGGCTCCCCTGATCTCCAATGACCTTTCCCAGTCCCTGCTGACACCCCTGTCCCTGCAGCAGGACCCCAAGGTGTCAGGGAGCTACAGCCTGCAGGCTTTGGGAGGTGGCACAGAGACCTTCTGCCATTTCCTGCCCACCCTTCACAGCCTGCATGGAAACATCACAGGACAAGGCAGCTCTCCCTGTGTCCCAACAGCAAAATGCTGCCAATGGAGGAGCTGGTGCCTCTGGAGCCGCAGGAGCAGGAGGGGAACAAACCTCTGAAGGCAGCTGATCCCCACACAACTGTCCAGGGCTGCTTTCCAGCACAGCCTTCTGCTGTGGCCTCCTACCAACATGTGCTTCCCTTGGAAAACCATCAGCCCTTTGCCAAACTTCCTCTTGAGGGGCAGAGGAGGGGCAGCTCCGACCTGTGTGAGCAGGGACAGCAGCCAGGGAATGGCTGGAGCTGTGTCAGGGCAGGCTCAGGTTGGATCTCAGCCAAAGGTTCTTCCCCCAGAGGCTGGTTGGGCACTGCCCAGGCTCCCCAGGGCAGTGGGCACAGCCCCAAGGCTGCCAGAGCTCAGGGAGGGTTTGGCTGATCCTCTGGGGCACAGGGGGTGACTCTTGGGGCTGGGCCTGTGCAGGGCTCAGGGTTGGACTCCGTGATCCTTGAGGGTCCCTCCCAGCTCAGAGGAGATTCTCTGATCCTGTGATTCTATAAAACTTTTTTAAAATCAGCCTGGAAGGGCCAGAAGTCACACCCAGAGACACAAGGAGCAAGAAAGAGCACGAGCATGATCCTGTCAGCTTGTTTCCTCCAGGAACAGGGCTAATAAGCAACGAGTCAAAACTGCTCCCAATTCACAGAGAGAACCCTTCATCATTCTGGGCAGGCACCAAAGCAGAAGTGCTGAACCACTGCCAGAAAGTCTCTCCTGATGTCTGCTCCAGCCCATCTCCAGCGATAAACAGCACTAATCCCCCTCAAAAAGGCTTGATCTTGGGAGACAATTCACTCCCTGGGGAATTCTGCCAGCTCTTGAGGTGGTAACGAGCTGCATCACCATGAGGTGTTCAGGGCAGATCAGAGCTCTGAGCAGCCTCGAGCTTCACTCCTCCCAAAGCCACATTCACCCAAGTTCCTTAAAAAGAAAACCAGGGTTTGTTTTTTTTTTTCAGAATCTCCTAAAAATTCTGAACTTTGCAACAAAAGGAATATATTGCTCTTATACTGCAGGAATAGAAGGACAAAACCCACACCACTTAGAGCTGCCAAGATCTGAGTCCCTTCTCCTGAAATGGCCAGACATGGCATCCCTGGG